TACGATATTTTATTGCTTTATGATAAATAAATAACAACAAATACTGTGATAAATTCCTGAGTTTTTATTCCACAAAGTTAGCAAATGCCGATAAAGAGCTTTGTTTACGTCATGTGACTTCCCGTTCACTTTTCCACCCGACCAGTACCGTTAGAATTAACCCTGCTTGTATTCATTGAAGAAATGTTTATACAGATGCTTTGATTTTCCAAAGGCATCATTGATTTTCAGATTGAATTAAATTTTAATAAAGCAGTAATATAAATAATGCCAACTGTATTGAGGGTTCCGGTAGGCTGATTATCTTTCAGCGTCATGGCGGTCCGTGATACGAAAAAAAATATTTAACTAAATCAATGGACACTTTTTATACGCCCACATTTTCATGTGGGTGTATATTGTCGTTGCCCCTGTCCATCCGTCCGTCCACAATTGTTTGTGAACAGTCTACAGGTCACAATTTTTATCCGATTTCAATGAAACTTGAAATATAGGTTTATCACCCTAAGATCTCGGTTCCTTTCGACATTGGCATGTATCGGACTGTAACTTCATGGATTATGGCCCCTGATTGTACGAAAAATCACGTTTTTAGCTTGTGAACGCTGTAGAGGTCACAATTTTTATCCGATTTGGTTTAAACTTGAAATGTATGCTTATAACCCAAAGATCTCGGTTCCTTTCGATATTTGCGCATGTCGGAACATAACTTCCTGAATTATGGCCCCTGAATGTACGCAAAATCGTGTTTTTAGCTTGTGGACCCTATAGAAGTAATAATTTTTATCCGATTTAAAAAAACGTATTATTATATCACCGTTATACCCTAAGGATGAATGAGTTCAAATTTCATGAAAATTGGCCCAAAATTAACAGACAAAATGGCCGCCGTTCGTTCTCAAATAGCGTAAAAATATGGTATATCAAGGTTGTGGACCCTATAGAGGTCACAATTTTTATCCGATTTTGTTGAAACTTGAAATGTAAGTTTATAACCCAAAGATCTCTGTTCCTTTCGATATTCGCGCATATCGGACCGTAACTTTCAGAATTATGGCCCCTGATTGTATGAAAAATCCCGTTTTTAGCTTGTGGACCCTATAGAGGTCATAATTTTTATCCGATTTAAAAAAACGTATTATTATATCACCGTTACACCCTAAGGACGAATGAGTTCGAATTTCATGAAAATCGGCCCAAAATTGACAGAAAAAATGGCTGCCGTTCGTTTTCAAATAGCGTAAAAATATGGTATCTCAAGGTTGTGGACCCTATAGAGGTCACAATTTTTATACCCGTTTTTGTTGAAACTTGAAATGTAAGTTTATAATCCAAAGATCTCAGTTCCTTTCGATATTCGTGCATATCGGACCGTAACTTCCAGAATTATGGCCCTTGATTGTACGAAAAATCACGTTTTTAGCTTGTGGACCCTATAGAAGTCATGATTTTTATCCGATTTAAAAAACCGTTCTATTATATCACCGTTACACCCTAAGGATGACTGAGTTCGAATTTCATGAAAATCGGCCTAAAATTGACAGACAAAATGGCCGCCGTTCGTTCTCAAATAGCGTAAAAATATGGTATATCAAGGTTGTGGACCCTATAGAGGTCACAGTTTTTATCCGATTTTGTTGAAACTTGAAATTTAAGTTTATAACCCAAAGATCTCGGTTCCTTTCGATATTCGCGCATATCGGACCGTAACTTCCAGAATTATGGCCCCTGATTGTACGAAAAATCGCGTTTTTAACTTGTGGACCCTATAGAGGTCATAATTTTTATCCGATTTAAAAAAACGTATTATTCTATCACCGTTACACCCTAAGGACGAATGAGTTCGAATTTCATGAAAATCGGCCCAAAATTGACAGAAAAAATGACTGCCGTTCGTTTTCAAATAGCGTAAAAATATGGTATCTCAACGTTGTGGACCCTATAGAGTTCACAATTTTTATACCCGTTTTTTGATGAAACTTGAAATGTAAGTTTATAATCCAAAGATCTCAGTTCCTTTCGATATTCGTGCATATCGGACCGTAACTGCCTGAATTATGGCCCCAGATTGTACGAAAAATCGCTTTCTTTTTAGCTTGTTCTCTATCCATCTCTCGAAAATGTGGGCGTATCCTGCCTGGCAGCCGCTGGTTATCCGATTTTGTTGAAACTTGAAATGTAAGTTTATAACCCAAAGATCTTGGTTCTTTTCGATATTTGCGCATATCGAATTGTAATTTTCTGAATTATGGCCCTTGATTGTAGGAAAAATCACTTTCTTTTTAGCTTATTCTCTATCCATCTCTCGAAAATGTTGGCGTATCCTGCCTGGCAGCTGCTGGTTGACATAGTACTTATGTTTTATACCGGGTGACACAAAAAAAGCGTTCATCACCTAAACTTGAACAACGAAGAGGGGTCGTCAGGGACCTCCAGTGGTTCCAGCAGGATGGTGCCACCCCCCACACCTCGAACGAATCATTGGCATGGCAACAGCAGCGTTTCCCTTACCGACTGATCAGCCGCAGGTGTGACCCGGAGTGGTCGCCGCATTCACCAGACTTGAACACCCCAGATTTTTATCTGTGGGGATACCTTAAGGACAGGGTGTATGGCAACAACCCCCAGGCTATCTCTGATCTGAAGGCAGCAATCACAGCAGCAATAAAAGCGATCCGAAGGGAAGAATGTGGGAGGGTCATCGAGAACTTTGCCCGCCGGATCCAAATGTGCTTTTTTGAGCGCCAGTTAAACAAAGAGTTTTTGTGGTACAGACTTGAAACTTTGGAGATGTTTGCTACATAGACTTAACCTAATGTAGCTGAATTTTTGTGTTAATCTAAATAAAGTTTTGGAAGTTATTCAATTTTTATTGATGAACGTTTTTTTTGTGTCACCCTGTATTATGATTTAGTATTTTTGCATTGCATAATGCATTTTTAAGAGGGTATGTGCTTGAATGAGAAAAAAATGAGATTCCTAGGGTAAATGAAAAGCATCCAATTGTATACCTGTAGTTTAAAAACACGCACGGCCAAAAGAACACAAGCTATTTTTAATGTGTTTTTTTGTGCATCCTTCATGTAAATATTCGTAATTTAAATAAAATATCATAATTAATATACTGGAAATTAAAATTGTAATATACAACATAGGCCAATATTTTTAGCAATTCTTCATAGCTATAGATAGATAGGTAGATAGATATGTTAAAAACATTTAATGTTGGCTAGAAAGTGTCAATCAAGTGAATACTTCGGGGGTATTTCCAACTTTTTATGCATGTTTTTTTTTTTTACATTTACAAAAAAACTGATGTTATTGACATTTTATAAAATATCGCGATATTTTTTGAAAGTATTGCGATATCTGTTTCCGGGGATATCGCCCAGCTCTACACCATGGCATTTCTTCATAGCACAATTTGTAGTCTTTTGTCCATCACGTAACTAGTCTCGTAACTTGCAAAAGTTTTTATTCATTCGTCAATGATGACAAACGGCACAATGATCACATGACAACCACAATTGAAATTGCTATAAAATCGTACAACTATGATATAGCTTCAATAATATTTTTAAAATTAAGCCTCTGTCAGCATGTGTATAAACGCTATTTAGATCAGGTTTATTGACCTAATTCCAACAGATATAGGAATTCAGCATTTGAGAATCTGTCGGGGAAAATGCCCACTGTTTCTCTTTCCGTGTATTCAGTGTTCTACCAGGGGATTATATTCAATGAATATTTAAATTTACCTAACAACTGGTCAGTGAATCAATCAATGTATGATCCAGTTATTATTGTAATATCTACCTGTACCTGCACTTCACACGGACGGAGCGTAGAAGACGTGCGATTTGCAAACCATGCCAAGATCGTCTTTATTCGCCACGTGGAGTATTCTACTGAACCTTTTATGAATTATCAGCAAGCGTTTTTTTTTTTTTAGCTGATTGTGAAAAATCACCGTTAAAGGCTCAATACCACTCTTGTTGTAACTGAATAATATGTCCCAATCTTTATTCTGGTCAACAAATTGTACTATTTTAGAATATTTCAATTAATTGATGATACAAATTTCATCTTAACACACCTTATTTAAAAATTTTGAAAAATTCAACATAATGGTTTGAAACGTCTAACGTAAACCTTTTCAAATGAAACTTCAATTTAAAAATATTTTTGAACCGTCTGGACAAGTAAAATAGGATGTAATGGATAATTTACACAACAGGTAGGACACTTAAACATCTAGTACTTAAATAGAGATATTATTTATTTTCTCGAGCTTTCAAGCCAGCAAGAGTGTTATTGTCCCTTTAAATGTGCTAATTGCTCGGATTAAGAACCATATGAGGTATGACTGTTGTAACCGACAAGCAAGTTGATTGTCTTTTTTTATTAACAAGTAATAATTACCCTGTTGTAATTTAGCCAAAAGTAGATTGATTTATGATACCATAGTGATGGATTCATTATTTTACCAATCCGCTAGATTAAATGTCAGTCGGCAAAAGCCGACAAAATACAGCCGATACTGACCGACATTCGATAGTCGGACTAGACAATTCTCAAAAAAAAATTTTTTTTTTGTTTTAGAAAAATTTTTGCGAATCCTTGTAGATTCCAACGTAAGCTCTTACGAGAATCCTTGCACGAATCAGATTCTGAGATTTGCGTGAATTTCTGGCCCTGATTCCAATATACTTTATTTACTCCAAACAATACTAATCACAAACACACGGTGAGCTGTCAAGCATATTACCGGAATTAGAAGTTTCCGTTTAAATTCAGCCAATCATGAGGTCGATTTATGAAACGGAAGTAAGGGAGTTATGACCATTTTCCAGGGGAGATCAGGAGAAAGGTCGTGAATCTGTGAGTCTCACAGAAAAAACAGCTAGTTGACAGATCTGCGTGACTGCCCCCCCTTTTTTTAAAAAAAATTTGTGTTATTTTTTGTTTACAATAGTGAATTGTATATTTATTTATTACAGTACCATACACTTTGTGAAACCAGTAAAACATATGAAGTTGGTAGTCAGTTTGCTGAATATGTTCGTCGTTTACCAGTTAATAACAACAAAAATGAATTGTTTGTGTTTCAACCTTTTAAACCAGACTCTAAGTAAGCAGAAATAACATTTGTTTTATAGTTTTATCTTGTACTGATAGTCTACATTGAATGTATATTGTCCTTTTTATATGGTTGTATATTGTCGTCAGTCCGGCGTCCACAATTGCTTGTGGATGCTCTAGAGGCTAATTTATACACATTGTTTAAGGTCATGAGACGAAGAAGCCTATTCATTTTCAGCGATTTCTGATAATTACTGCCAGAGTTATGGCCCTTGATCACTTTGAAAAATCTTCTAGACACTCTAGAGGGTAAAGTTAATATCCGATTGACCTTAAATTTATTAGACATTGTTTAAAGTCATCAGATGAAGCCTGTTGCTTTTCAACAATCTCTGATAATTACTGCCAGAGATGTGGCCCTTGATCACTTTGAAAAATCTTGTGGACACTCTAGAGGCTAAAGTTAATATCTGATTGTCTTTAAATTTATTACACATTGTTTAAATTCACCAGATGAAGCCTATTGCTTTTCAATGATCTCCGATAATTACTGCCACAGTTATGGCCCTTGATCACTTTGCAAAATCTTGTGGACGCTCTAGAGGCTAAAGTTAATATCTGATTGACTTTTAAATTTATTACACATTGTTTAAAGTCATCAGATGAAACCTATTGCTTTTCAATGATTTCCAATAATTACTGCCACAGTTATGGCTCTTGATCACATTGAAAAATCTTGTGGACGCTTTAGAGGCTAAAGTTGATATACACTAATTGATACAATACAATATCAAAAAAACATTGTTTTATCTAACATTTCGTCAGTAAAAATGCTAACTTCTTCAGGGATGAAGAACTAATACAAAATTATGACATTATAGGAAGTTATGACATAGGAATGATGACATCATGGACTTAGATACATAAAATGAAAGGTTAGCTTATAATAAAAGAAAAATTTTACAAGTAAGGAAAATTATGCATGATTATGAATGATTTTGAAAACCCCTGGATTTAACTCATTTAAACTGTTAGGCCAAACTGAATCAAGTCTATGAATCCACAGACTTTCTGCTGTGTTCAATAATTGCTGATCTTTATCAGGAATTTTTTGTACTATGGTACACATGAAATCATGACCAGGTATATTAAATTGGGCGGGGGGGGCTACATGGGGGAAATGGCCAGGTTATTTAAGCTTTATATTACTTCTGTGCTTAGTAAGTCGTGTGTTGAATGGAGTAATGGTTTGGCCTACATATTGCATTCTACAGATTTTACATGTTAATCAATAAACAGTCTTTACTGGTTATTTCTTAATTTGTACATATAGTCTCGCATGATTTACATCATTTTCTTAAACAAAGTTGACATCCATATGAACTTTTGTCCTTAATATTGTTATTAGTGTCGTAGTTCTCAACTTATTTGTATACGCCCACATTTTCATGTGGACGTTTATTGTCGTCGCCCCTGTCCGTCCGACCATCCACAATTGTTTTTGAACAGTCTACAGGCCCCAATTTTATTATACGCCCACATTTTCATGTGGACGTATATTGTCGTCGACCCCGTCCGTCCGTTCACAATTGTTTGTGAACAGTCTACAGATCACAATTATTATCCGATTTCAATGAAACTTGAAATATAGGTTTATCACCCTAAGATCTCGGTTCCTTTCGATATTGGCATGTATCGCACGTTTTTAGCTTGTGAACACTGTAGAGGTCACAATTTTTATCCGATTTGGTTTAAACTTGAAATGTATGATTATAACCCAAAGATCTCGGTTCCTATCCATATTCGCGCATAATGGAACATAACTTCCTGAATTATGGCCCCTGATTGTACGAAAAATCGCGTTTTAGCTTGTGGACCCTATAGAGGTCATAATTTTTATCCGATTTAAAAAAACGTATTATTATATCACCGTTACACCCTAAGGACGGCTGAGTTTGAATTTCCTGAAAATCGGCCCAAAACTGACAGACAAAATGGCCGCCGTTCATTCTCAAATAGCTTAAAAATATGGTATATCAAGGTTGTGGACCTATAAAGGTCTCAATATTTACCCGATTTTGTTGAAAATTGAAATGTAAGTTTATAACACAAAGATCTCGGTTCCTTTTGATATTAGCGCATATTGGATCGTAACTTCCTGAATTATGGCCCCTGATTGTACGAAAAATCACGTTTTTAGCTTGTGGACCCGATAGAGATCATAATTTTTATCCGATTTAAAAAACGTATTATTATATCACCGTTACATCCTAAGGAGGGCTGAGTTAGAATTTCGTGAAAATCGGCCCAAAATTGACAGACAAAATGGCCGCTGTTCGTTCTCAAATAGCGTAAAAATATGGTATATCTAGGTTGTGGACCCTATAGAGGTCATAAATTTTATCCGATTTTGTTGAAACTTGAAATGTAAGTTTATAACCAAAAGATCTCGGTTTCTTTCGATATTTGCGCATATCGGACCATAATTTCCTGAATTATGGCTCCTGATTGTATGAAAAATTGCGTTTTTAGCTTTTGGACCCATTAGAGGTCATAATTTTTATCCGATTTAAAAAACCGTATTATTATATCACCGTTACACCCTAAGGACGAATGAGTTCGAATTTCATGAAAATCAGCCCAAAATTGACAGACAAAATGGCCACCGTTCGTTCTTAAATAACGTAAAAATATGGTATATCAAGGTTGTGGACCCTATAGAGGTCACAATTATTATCCGATTTTGTTGAAACTTAAAATGTAAGTTTATAACCCAAAGATTGTGGTTCCTTTCGATATTCGCGCATATCAGACCGTAACTTCCTGAATTATGGCCGTGATTGTACGAAAAATTGCGTTTTTAGCTTGTGGATCCTATAGAGGTCATAATTTTTATCCGATTTAAAAAAACGTACTATTATATCACCGTTACACCCTAAGGACGGCTGAGTTCGAATTTCGTGAAAATCGGCCCTAAACTGACACACAAAATGGCCGCCTTTCGTTCTCAAATAGCGTAAAAATATGGTATATCAATGTTGTGGACCCTATACAGAGGCGTATCCAAGGGGGGAGGGGCGCACACCGCCCCACCCTAATTTTCGACAGTGCCCTTTTTTAATGCTGAAAGTGCCTTTTTCTCAGAGCTTGAATATGTCCGTTCCCAACCCGTTGCAGGGATCCCAAATGACTCGAACCATCGACTCAAACACACCAGTCTGGTCTAATTAATGCTTCCACTTTCAAACGAATTCTTGTTGTTTAGCTGACGGTGCCCTAATCCTATAGAGTCACTAGACAGACATCAATGATAGCATCTTGTGGAATCGGCGGCGTATACTACTATACACTCATGCCCATCACCGACGCGCATTAGTGCAACTTGATGTAGCATTGTTTATGTGTGGACAGTACAAGTTACAAGGCTTAAATAGTGAAGTGGCTAGGGAATAGATTCGTCTTTTTTCCCATCATAATGCCTCGCTCGCCATGACAATTTTTGCTCGATTTTAAGACTCTTTTTCAACGATTTCCGTTTACTTAAACAAAATATCAGCCAAATAGCTCTTGGAATGGCTACAGATGCAGGAAATTAATTTTTTGGGGGCCCCCTCCTCTCAGCAGCGTGCCGCGTCTCAGTGGTCAATGCCCTCATTTTGCAGCGCCCCACCCCCTTTTCAAAATTCCTAGATCAGCCCCTGCTATAGAGGTCACAATTTTAATCCTATTTTGATGAAACTTGAAATGTAAGTTTATTGTCGTCGCCCCTGTTCGTCCGTCCACAATTGTTTGTGAACACTCTACAGGTCACAATTCTTATCCGATTTCAAGGAAACTCGAAATATAGGTTTATCTCCCCAAGATCTCGGTTCCTTTCGATATTGACACGTATCGGACCTTAACTTCATGGATTATGGCTCCTGATTGTAAGAAAAATCGCGTTTTTAGCTTGTGAACACTGTAGAGGTCACAATTTTTATCCGATTTGGTTTAAACTTGAAATGTATGTTTATAACCCACAGATCTCAGTTCCTTTCGATATTCGTGCATATCAGACCATAACTTCCTGAATTATGGCCCCTGATTGTACGAAAAATCACGTTTTTAGCTTGTGGACCCCATAGAGGTCACAATTTTTATCAGATTTAAAAAAAACGTGTGAATATATCACCGTTACACCCTAAGTATGGTTGAGTTTGAATTTCGTAAAAATCGGACCGAAACTGACGGACAAAATGGCTGCCCCTCGTTCGCAAATAGTGTCAAAATATTGCGTATCAGGGTTGTGTGCACCCTCTGGAGGTCACAATTTTCATCTGATTTTGATGAAACTTGAAATGCATGTTAATAACCCACAGATCTCGGTTCCTGTCGATATTCACGCATATCGAACCATAATTTCCTGAATTATGGCCCCTGATTGTACGAAAAATCACGTTTTTAGCTTGTGGACCCCATAGAGGTCACAATTTTTATCCGATTTAAAAAAACGTTTGAATATATCATCGTTACACCCTAAGGATGGTTGAGTTTGAATTTCGTAAAAATCGTGTCAAAATATTGTGTATCAGGGTTGTGGACCCTTTGGAAGTCACAATTGTCATCTGATTTTGATGAAATTTGAAATGCATGTTTATAACCCAAATATCTTGGTTCCTTTCTATTTTTGTGCATATCAAATCGTAACTTCCAGAATTATGTCCCCTGATTTTACAAAAAATCACGGTTTTAGCTTGTGGTCCCTCTAGAGGTCACAATTATTATCCGATTTAAACAAACGTTCGAATATATCACCGTTACACCTAATTTTGTCTGAGGTTGAGTTTCATGAAAATCAGACCAAAAATTGCCAGACAAAATGGCCTCCCCTCGTACGCAAATAGTGTAAACATCTGTTATATCAAAGTTGTGGACCCTCTAGAGGCCACAATTTTGATCTGACTTTAATGAAACTTGAAATGCAAGTTTATAACCTAAAGATCTCAGTTCCTTTTAATATTCGCGCATATCAGATCATAACTTCCTGGTTGTATGAAAAATTGCGTTTTTAGCTTGTGGTCCTTCTAGAGGTCACAATTATTATTCGTTTTAAGAAAAAACGTTTGATTATATCACCGTTACACCATAATGTTTGTTGACTTCGAATTTCAGGAAAATCGGGACAAAACTGCCGGACAAAATGGCCGTCCCTCTTATTCAAATAGTGTCAACATCTAGCAAATCAAGGTTGTGGACCCTCTAGAGGTCACAATTTTGATCCGATTTTGTTGAAACTTGAAATGTAAGTTTATAACCCAAAGATCTTGGTTCCTTTCGATATTCGCGCATATCGGACCGTATCGGACCGTAACTTCCTGAATTATGACCCCTGATTGTACGAAAAATCCGTTTTTAGCTTGTTGACCCTATAGAGGTCATATTTTTTATCCGATTTAAAAAAACCATATTATTATATCACTGTTACACCCTAAGGATGATTTCGTGAAAATCGGCCTTAAACTGACAGACAAAATGGCCGTCGTTCGTTCTCAAATAGCGTAAAACTATGGTATATCAAGGTTGTGGACCCTATAGAGGTCTCAATTTTTATCCGATTTTGTTGAAACTTGAAATGTAAGTTTATAACCCAAATATCTCGATTCCTTTTGATATTCGCACACATCGGACCGTAATTTCCTGTATTATGGCCCCTGATTGTACGAAAAATTGCGTTTTTAGCTTGTGGACCCTATAGAGGTCATAATTTTTATCCGATTTAGAAAACCGTATTATTATATCACCGTTACACTCTAAGGACGGCTGAGTTCGGATTTCGTGAAAATCGACCCAAAACTGACAAGACAAAATGGCCGCCCCTCGTTCTCAAATAGCGTAAAAAATATGGTATATCAAGGTTGTGGACCCTATAGAGGTCACAATTTTTATCCGATTTTGTTGAAACTTGAAATGTCAGTTCGTGGTTCCTTTCGATATTCGCGAATATATCGGAGTATCGGACCGTAACTTCCTGAATTATGGCCCCTGTTTGTACGAAAAAGCGCGTTTTTAGCTTGTGGACCCTATAGAGGTCACAATTTTTATCCGATTTTGTTGAAACTTGAAATGTAAGTTTATAACCAAAGATCATAATTTTTATCCGATTTAAAAAAAGTATTATTATATCACCGTTACACCCTAAGGACGGTTGAGTTCGAATTTCGTGAAAATAGGCCCAAAACTGACAGACGAAATGGCCGCCCCTCGTTCTCAAATAGCGTAAAAAATATGGTATATCAAGGTTGTGGACCCTATAGAGGTCACAATTTTTATCCGATTTTGTTGAAACTTGAAATGTCAGTTCGTGGTTCCTTTCGATATTCGCGAATATATCGGAGTATCGGACCGTAACTTCCTGAATTATGGCCCCTGTTTGTACGAAAAAGCGCGTTTTTAGCTTGTGGACCCTATAGAGGTCATAAATTTTATCCCATTTAAAAAACGTATTATTATATCACCGTTACAACCTAAGGATGGCTGATTTCGAACTTCGTGAAGATCGGCCCAAAAACTGACAGACAAAATGGCCGCCCTTTGTTCTCAAATAGCGTAAAAATATGGTATATCAAGGTTGTGGACCCTATAGAGGTCACAATTTCTCTATCCAGTATCCATGTCTCGAAAATGTGGGCCTATCCTGCCTGGCAGCCGTTGGTCTTTCAAGATATTGCCAATTATGCTGTACTTTCTCTTTATTATTATTTTGCTGTTATTTATAATTTTTATCATTCCTGAACTTGTATTGTATCTAAAATACTTCTGTCTTTGGTCATTTGGTGAAGGTGAAGTTGTCGAGGGTCAAAGGCAGTTGTCCATGGAATAATCTTCACATTAGTATCGGCCTTGGATTGGTAGGTCAATAATTCAGCCCTGGTCTTCTGATCTGCTCGTTTAAATGCCTTTTGTATAATTTTCATGGGATATCCGGATTGTTTATGTTAAAGGAGCTAAATTGCTAACATTTGGGACCTAGAAATTGACAAAAGTGGGTCGCAACGCATATAATACTGTAATGTGAATGTATATAAACTGATTTACATTCATTGGTTTCCGTTTTTACTCCACTTTCAAATCAGTTATGTTCGGCGAAATAAGCCAGCAGTCTCAAGCGAGGGCAAATTTCTAGCGTCTGGTTATTCCAGCCTACATACGCCGTTTAATTTGGTGCAATATGTCTAGCCTCGTCCCTCGAGTCTCTTGATACAACTGGGGCTGAAGCGCATTATGTTTATTTTGTCTTAAATATTGGATATCAAAAGCCCATCTTTTTCCGGTAAGATCACAACATGAATGTTGATTTAATTTGACAAATAAATCGTGTTTTCAATGTTGAAGATTTTGGATGATATTGAGTTAGAGACTTAGCTACTTTAAGATAGGATCCAAAATTTTTTAGGTTTGATTTGGTCCAGCTATCTTTGCTACAAACCTTTTTATACGTAGTGCACCACTGTAATAGTAAGTGCAGGAGGACCGCAGTACACGTAAAACAAAAATCTAGAAGACAAACCTGCGGACTAGACAGAAAATAGACTTTACACCAAATGAACAAATATCAAATCAAGTGAATGGATCCAGGGGCCAGCCGTAAGCGTCCACTACGCTGTACAGTCCCGGGCCTGTAGTGACACAGACTTCACTCAAATTTGAAAATAATCAGGGAAAAAAGACGTAACAGAAATAATGCGACCAATCTTGGCAGTGGTCGTCTTCTCAATGGTGATAGTCTGCCAGTTGACGTCATGAGTTAGAACATCAAACAATTTTAACAATAAGGGCGATAATCCGGATAGAATCTCAGAAAACGCTAAAATAATAAGTGTAGTGAGCAAACAGGAGCAAAACCTGACAACGAGAACATTCTGCAGTATGAAGGGTTAAAACTCTACTCTAATAGTAAGTGCAGTTGGACCGCACTACAATAAAACAAAAATCTACAAGACAAACCTGCGGACAAGACAGAAAATAGACATTACACCAAATGAACAAATATCAAATCAAGTGAATGGATCCGGGGGCCAGCCAGCTGTAAGCGTCCACTGCGCTGTACAGTCCCGGACCTGTAGTGACACAGACTTCGTTAAAGATATGTTTGGGATGACAACTTGATGGTGGAAGATAATGATGGCAATCTGTTTTCTTGGAATATAGATTTGTCTCTAACTTATCTCTTTCTTTGACAACTTTTACATCTAAGAAATTAACGGAGTTGCTGTTTATATCCATAGTAAATTTGATCTTTGGATGTTGTTGATTTAATGTTGGAACAAAATTCTTACATTCTTCAAGTGGGAGAGATGATAAAGCTCAAATATCATCGATGAATCTGTAAAAATATCTTGTTTATTAGGTAATGGTTCACAACAATGAATTTGAATTGTCTGGTATGTTTTATAGACAGATATCTGGAGCCGCCATGGAAACTTTGTTTGCTGTGACGTATGCTAACTGGATGAAAACCTACTATGGGTTCGTCTGTCTGTCTGTCACAATAACTCACCTTCTAATTGAGCTAGAATGTTCAGACTTGGAGAGTGTTGATTAAGTCAGTGCCTTGATGGAGTTCGAAGATGAGCATTTTCTGTTTAGGGTAAGCAGAGATAAGCAATTTGATTGGTTGATGCTTTGGGACACGATAACTTTACTTCTAATTGGGTGAGAGCAATGAAACTGAGTATAGATTCATTATATCAATGCATTGACTAAGTTTGATGATGAGTGAGAGTGATCAATGCTAACCATTTTCTGATAAGGCAAAGAAGAGACCTCTATCTGATTGGTCAAGACTTTGGAACACAATTAACTAATTGCCTCTAATTGAGGTAAAATGTTATAATTGGTGTAGGTGTCTATTACGAGAATGCCTTGACGGAGTTCAAAGATGAGTATTTTCTGATTAGGTTAAGTAGAGATAAGCAATTTGATTGTTTGATGCTTTGGGACACGATAACTTTGGTTCTAATTGGGTGAGAACAATGAAACTGAGTATAGATTCATTATATCAATACATTGACTAAGTTTGATGATGAGAATTTTATGCTTAGGCTACATAGCGATAAGCAATTTGATTGGTCAAGACTTTGGATCATAACAACTCTGCTTTTAATTGAGGTATAGATGTTCATTATAGGCGAATGTCTTGACTGAGTTCAATGATTAATATTTCCTATTAATGCTGCAAAGCTAAGCAATTTCTTTGGTCGATGCTTTGGGACAAGATAACTTTGGTTCCGACTCATGGAGAGTGATGAAACTTTGTGTATAATTCACTCACTATCAGGTACTTCAAAACCTGAGTTTGATAGTGAACATTTTATGCTTAGACTAAGCATAGGTAATCAGTTTGATTATTCGATACTTTTTGAAAAAGATCAATGGTAAATTAATTAATGTGTTATCTATTTGTTGGGATTTCGGTGGGGGACATCAGCCTCACTGTTGGCTTATACTGTTTGTAAGTGTATTAGAAGGTCTACGAAACCCCCATCCATGTTTTAAGAATTTTCACATAATGTGTGAATTAGATTTATACTGTTTAAATGATATATTACAGAGATAATGAAACTAGAAAAACTAGTACACAGTCAAATGGTTCAGGTACATCAGATCATGTAGCTTCTAATGAGGCTTCTCCAACAGCATCTCCTAAAAAAGGTGAGGAATTATCACTACTGCTAGGTGTCATAGCTGCATTGCTCTCGTTGGAAGAAAGTGTTTTTTTCCCAATTGGTTACTTTTTATATGCCCACATTGATATGTGGTCGTATATTGTTGTTGCCCCCATATGTCGGTCGGTCTGTCTGTCCGGCATCCACAAGCAATTGTCAATAATTACTGCCAGAGTTATGGCCCATGATCACTTTTAGATATCTTGTGGACACTCTGGATCAGCTAAAGTTAAAGCTATTGATTTTCAACGATTTCCAATAATTACTTTTAAATTTCTTGTTGATGCTCCGATTGACTTTAAATTTATATTTATACACAGTGTTTCAGGCAGTGATGGGATTTCAAAATTTTTCTTGTCAGACATTTTACCGAAAATAAAGGGGCATAACTCTTATCGTTATTTAAGCAGACGAATTCGTACCACAATTAAAAGTCACATGTCAAAATATTCAAATCCCTTACGTAATAAAAATAGGTGAACCTCGCTATTTTTCATATTTAATTCCCGTACAGTATTCCATTCATACCACAATTAAAAACTACATGTCAACAAAATATTCAAATCCCGTACGTAATAAAAATTGGTGACCTCGCTATTTTTCACACTTAATTCCCGTACAGCATTTAAATTTATGTCAGTAAATGTCCTACAAAATTAAGCATTTTCGTAATATGTTGAATGAAAGCTTGCCGATCCTGCTTCGGCATCAAATTCACAACCATAATATTCCTTTAGAATTACGTGTCTTCGTTTATACAGCAGCAAATGAATGCAGAACTTCCGAAATGATTGACATGCTTCTTAATTCCCGCCTACAAATACGTAAGAATTTCTGCTCATATAGCTGTTGGTAGCCCCTCCCCTTTTTGTTATTTTGCTGGGTGCGTACTAGTCTCGGTCACCCAGAAACTCCTAGTCTTCAACATATTCATAGAATATTTTTCTGGATAATAAAGACTAATAGCCTACGTGACTCGCATCACACGGCTTCATAGTAAGCACTGCCTAATAATATGTTAAGCAATATTCGGGCCGCGCTCGAGATCAAGGGAAAGTGCCACTGTGGATGAAAATTTCTATATGGATTCTTAAAAGACGTAAAAGATATCGTAGACAAAATGACTGTCCATTGATTTAGGGTGTTATTTACTCTTACGATATGTGACATCTATGATTAGTTTATTATAGATGATGTCGGCTCACATCAATGCGATTAAGATGCCCGACAAATGAGAAACCACGAGGTAAACAGGTGGATTAAAATTATAATCATTCTTATTGAATTGGTGAATAGTCCGACAAAAGGAAAGCAATGACTTCTGTTTAAGATTAGATTGATCAATTGTCCGACAAAGGATTAAGTCAGTCAGTCAAGGCAGATTAAGTAGTTAAATCAAGGTAGGTTTATACTATAGAAGGTATAACACGATAAATACGTTTATCACTTAATTACCTAATAAACCTAGTGTATTATCGACTATAATCGGGTTGAGTGGTAGTTATACACTCAGTAAACTATATTAATTTTGGAATTTTGAATATTATTCACCATGTCTTGATGTCCGATTGGGCATATTCCTGGTCGGACAATTTTGGGCGTTTGGAAAAGAGATTCGGACAAGTCCGGAATATACGGGCAAAATCCCATCACTGGTTTCAGGTAATATCACGAAAAAGCCTATTGATTTTCAACGATTTCCAACAATTACTGCCAGAGTTGTGGTCCTTGATCACTTTGAAATAGCTTGTGGATACTCTAGAGCAGGGATTCCACTTCAAAATTTTCACTGCCGAATCATGATAACCCGAATCATGTTTTTTATTCATGGTAGGGTATTGTGAATTCACGTGTCTATACCACTGTGTCAGTATGGGGTACACAAAAATATATATATTTGACTTAAAAATGAAATATTAGTAAGGCTTATGATAATTATTTATTAATTAAATATTCCGTTTTCGCTACTTAAATAACGAAATAGCTGAATTGGCCGTAGAAAAACCATTTCAGTAGCTCACACGTAATTACCACATGCTCTATAGAAAACACACTGACCTGGATAATTTTAAGTTGTAATACAATAACTTTGAAATGAAGAGTATAAGAGTAACCATATATACACAACATTTTTGCTACACGTGGAATTATCAATATTGCTGCTCAATAAAACTGGATTAAGTAATTTTCCTAATTTTTTGGTAAACAAGTTAACTAATCTCTAGATTTTATTTCTACAATTCCCACAAGGCCGTCATACCCCTATAAAAAATTATAAATGCATTTTTCTCCCAACACATACGTTTTTGAGGATTTACTTAATTTCTATGCTGTTTTTATTTGATATGACAGTTGATTGGATTCGAAGAGCAGTACTTCATATCAATTGCCCTTTTTCGAAGATCATAATAACCTCGTTTACATCATGCTTGACCGTACTGATCGGTAAACGGCTATGTTGTAGAAAATTCTTATGACACGTGGACAATACGTGAATGATTAACAATGGACCGCTTCACGCCATTGATTAGATTCCCACATATCAATTAACTTTTATTGTTCTGCTTCCAGACACTCATCATTATCAACACAACATAATCTGACGACTGTATATAACATCAGTCATGAGATTATGTGGCTTCTATACGTGTGGATTATTCTGTACTGGCCGTACAATTGTATAGTTACATAGTGGAGGTTGATTGTAGCCATGGTTGAAAATTGGGTTTTGAAAAAAAAGGCTCTCTTTCCGGCATGCAAAATTACCCTTGGGTCACCTCTAGTTACGGTCATTTTCCATTGCCCTAGGTCCTGACTGGCATATACGGCCGATGTGGAACCCATGGTTATGAGACAGAGAAATCTATATATTTGCAAAGATTTCCAATTATTACTACCAGAGTTATGAGACTTGATTACTTCGAAAAATCTTGCAGATGCTCTACAGGCCAAAGTGAACATTCGATTGACTTTAGATTGATACACAGAGTTTAAGATCTTGATACAAACAAGTGTATTGATTTTTATACGCCCACATTGAAATGTGGTCGTATATTGTCGTCGCCCCCGTCCGTCTGTCGGTCGGCGTCCACAATTGCTTGTGGACGCTCTAGGGGCCAAAGTTAATATCCGATTGACTTTAAATTTATATACAGTGTTTAAGGCCATGAGATGAAGAAGCCTATTGATTTTCAGCGATTTCCGATAATTAATGCCAGAGATATGGCCCTTGATCACTTCAAAAAATCTTGTGGACGCTCTAGAGGCCAAAGTTAATATCCGATTGACTTTAAATTTATACACAGTGTTTAAGGTCATGAGGCGAAGAAGCCTATTGATTTTCAGCGATTTCCAATAATTACTGCCAGAGTAATGGCCCTTGATCACTTCAAAAAATCTTGTGGGCGCTCTAGAGGCCAAAGTTAATATCCGATTGAGTTTAAATTTATACACAGTGTTTAAGGTCATGAGACAAAGAAGCCTATTGATTGTCAGCGATTTCCGATAATTACTGCCAGAGTTATGGCCCTTGGTCACTTCAAAAAATCTTGCGGATGCTCTAGAGGAGAAAGTTAATATCCGATTGACTTTAAATTTATACACAGTGTTTAAGACCTTGAGACGAACAAGTATATTGATTTTCAATACAGTATTATAAGTTTTGTATACAAAACGTTAGCATGGGGCAGAACTTTATAAAAACCAAACAAATTCTAATGGTTTTCTGTATTAGATTTTAGTGTATTATAAATGTTTCATTACCGAAAAAAGTAAAAATATGCGACAACTCTTGTTGACTGCCCGGACGATTTAGCTGCTGTGGGCGTATGTTTCATTGCCTGGCAACCTATCTTTAATGATTTTTGATAACTTGAACAGCTAAATTTATGATACTAAATGTTTAGTATACTATTGAGTTGTGTTACTCTTAATCAGATTTTAGTGTAGTGTAAATGTTTCATTTCTGACGAAAAGAAAAAATATTCGACAACTTTTGTCGACAACTGGACGACTTTGATGCTGTGGCCTGTGGGCGTATGTTTCATTGCCTGGCAACCTATTTTTATACGCCCACATTTTCATGTGGACGCATATTGTCTTCGCCCCTGTCCGTCCGTCCACAATTGTTTGTGAATAGTCTACAGGTCACAATTTTTATCCGATTTCAATGAAACTTGAAATATAGGTTTATCACCCTAAGATCTCGGTTTCTTTCGATATTGGCATGTATCGGACTGTAACTTCATGGATTATGGCCCCTGATTGTACGAAAAATCACGTTTTTAGCTTGTGAACACTGTAGAGGTCACAATTTTTATCCGATTTAGTTTAAACTTGAAATGTATGATTATAACCCAAAGATCTCGGTTCCTTTCGATATTCGCGCATGTTGGATTGTAACTTCCTGAATTATGGCCCCTGTTTGTACAAAAAATCACGTTTTTAGCTTGTGGACCCTATAGAGGTCATCATTTTTATACGCTCACATTTTCATGTGGACGTATTATGCCGTCGCCCCTGTCCGTCCGTCTGTCCACAATTGTTTGTGGACACTCTACAGGTCACAATTTTTATCCGATTTTGACGAAACTTGAAATATAGGTTTATCTCCAAAATATCTCTGCTGCTTTCGATATTGGCATGTATCGGATCGAAACTTCATGGATTATGGCCCCTGTTTGTACGAAAAATCACGTTTTTAGCTTGTGGACACTATAGAGGTCACAATTTTTATCCGAGTTAAAAAAAAACGTACTATTATATCACCGTTACACCCTAAGGACGGCTGAGTTCGAATTTCGTGAAAATCAGCCCAAAACTGACAGATATAATGGCCGCCCCTCGTTCTGAAATAGCGTAAAAATATGATATATCAAGGTTGTTTACCCTATACACTACAAATATGGTATCGTTTAATATGGTGTTTTTAGCGTTGGTTACTATTCATACCGTTTAATTTCAAAACTTCGTTCGATAATTGATAAAAATCATTGAAGAATAACAAAAATGGTTTAATTAGTACTATGGTTTAGATAAATGGCAACGGCTTTAGTTTCTCCGAGATGCGTTTAAAAAATGGACTACCCGTGCACTTATCTATGGCGTTCATTTATTGGACGAGCCGTTGAATTTCCCGAGATGCGTTTAAAAATGGACTTTCCGTTCATTTCATAGACGAGCCGTTGAATTTCCTGAGATACGCACTGTACATTCATATAACGTCGGCCAAAAGGTATGCAACAATGAACAACTTACAATTTTTTAAAACGTATCATTAAATCTTCGTCTATAACTTAGATGTAATCCATCAATTATTGGCTGCTATAAAATCCAAACTTTAAATTATATACGTCATACGATGAGCTTTTACACATTACTTGCAGCTTCAGTTAATCTAAATCAATCATTCATAGAGAACAGTGCCGTAAATCACTCCACGGGGCGCTTAACAGTAAGTCACGTGGTCAGAAACGCGCCAAAAGATTGGGACTATATTCTTACTCTGTGTTACTCGGCAATAAATCTCCGCTGTGACAATATACATCTACTTTAAATGTCGCCCAATTCATTTCGGTGGAAGCGGATATTGAATAAAGCCATTTCACACACACATACGTTATATATACTATTCAAAAAAAGTAGGGGATATTTGATTTTTAAGTGTTATTAAAGTCACCTAATGAAACTGACGAAGAAACAAATGACAAAATGAAATGAAGTTCACATTCATCGATTTATTCCAAATGATCGTAAGACTAAGTAAGGCACAGACTGACCATTATAAGGGTAAAATGATACCCGGGGTCAAACAGCAAAGTTACCACAGCATCACAACCAAATCAGTAACGGGTAAATCCTTCTCTGTTTGCCAAACAAGCATTGATCCGACGTGGCATACTCCTAATTGTCCCAGATTGTCCCATTCCTGTTGCAACGCAGCAGCAAGTTCTTGGACATTGGCAGGACGTTGTTGACGTTGACGTAACCTCTGTCCAAGCATGTCCCAGACATGCTCGATGGGGGAGAGGTCGGGACTCAGTGCTGGCCAAGGTAATGTGGTGATGTTCTGTTGTTGGAGGTAACTTGTAACGATCCTGGCCCTGTGACATCTTGCGTTGTCATCCTGGAAGATGAAACGGCGGCCATGACGTCGTGCGAACGGCACAACATGGACTGCCAAGATGTTGTCCCGGTAGTACTGGCCTGTAACACGCCCTGCAACAACATGTAAAGCCGTTCTTCCAGCAACAGTGATGCCTCCCCACACCATAACAGAACCACCCCCAAATCGATCATGTCTGATGACGTTAACGTCTTGGAAGCGCTCGTTTCGACGACGCCACACCCTCCTACGTCTGTCCAAAAAATCAACAGTGAACCTTGACTCATCTGAAAACATCACATTGCTCCAGCGTCGATTATCCCAGTGTTGACGATCCCTACACCAACGACGTCTTGCCTGAATGTAATGATCTCTCAAACAAGGGATCACGCGAGGACATCGGGCGCGAAGGTGACCTCTATGCAGTCGATTCCGAATCGTCTGGCCACTCACTCTCACACCAGTGTCTGTTTGAAGACGAGCGCTGATCTGATTTGCTGTGATGACACGATTTCTCAAGGCCAAGGTACGGATAAATCGATCCTGGGCTTGAGTTGTCGCCCTTGGTCGACCTGAGCGTGGTCCGTCCTGTACAGATTGTGTATCACGGTATCTGGACCATAGCCTGCTTATGACAGACTGAGAAACATTCATCGTCCGCGCCACAACCGCCTGTGTTGTGCCGATCTGTAGCATGCCAAGGGCACTTAACCTTTCATTTTGGGTAAGCCGACGCATATCAAAATTTGTTTTCTGGTCACTAAAACAATTAAACTGATGTTTCCACCCTGGAATTCAATGCCACAATGACTGTAACATTCAAAGTCAGAGTCGTGCAAATCTTGGGTTGGACCCCCATGATGATCCCAAGCATCACCTGCATTCCATGCGGTAGCTATTGGTGCGTTTGGGCGTCACATGTAACTGGAAATGTTTCTTCTGTTAGGTTCTATAGTGACTTTTTTCGTAGTCATTTGCATAATTTAGTATTATGCCCCCAAAATCAAATATCCCCTACTTTTTTTGAATAGTATATATGGTACGCAATACAAAAGACACATAAGAGAAACGTAGATCATAGCGAGCATACGCGCCTGTCAAAAGTCTTGTCTTTAATTATACAAAGACCTGTGTAAAACACACGGTCGAATGATAAATCGCACAGTAAAACAGTTTTACTTCCCAAATTTTGATTTAACACATACATGTCAGATAAAGCCTGTCGGTCCTTGATTATACTCCTTTTGATGCAGTTATCGCAGCTAGCGAGAAAACACGCCAATTAAACAATACACAACATTGACATTCATTTTTTACCTGTCGGTTAATTAACACACCTCTACTGAAAACGCACTGTCGCACAGTTTTTCACCCCTAGTGTTAATTAACTCACCTCTCAAACAGTTTTTCACCCTTGTTAATTAACACACCTTATTTACAGTTTTAACGCAGTAATACCGAGTAATAGTCGGAAAATTAATTTTTTTTCGATACACGTACAAATAACAACCATGACTGAGAATTATATGGTGGCTGTGCACAGATTCACCCATTAGCAGTTCTCAGTGCAACTGGTCAGTGAATCCATCAATGTATGAACCAGTTATTAATTTAATATCTACTGGTACCTGGAATTCACACGGACAGAGCCTGGAAGTTGCGTGATTCACAAACCATGCCAAGATTATCTTTCACCGGGGGGTTGGATGGCTGAATGGTTAGCGTGCGCGCGCTGTATCATAAAGTCTGTCATTGAGTCGACTGGCGTGGTTTCGAATCCCCGGTTGTACGTGACAAGGAATAGGGTCGCCTGTCCAACCTCGTGGGTTTTCTCCGGGTCCTCCGGTTTCCTCCCACTGCTAAAGACCCCTACGCGCAAGCGAATTATTGAAATAAAATTAAACCATATGTTAGTCCCGAAATGACCTAGTTTGTGTCGAGTGGACGTTAAACCCCATATCTCTCTCTCTCTTTATCTTTCACCACGTGGCGTATTTTACTAAACCTATTATGAATTATCAGCAAGCTTGTTTTGTTTTTTACCAGATTATCAAAATCACCATTAAATGTGCTAATTACTCGGATTATGAACCACAGTTATGACTGTTGTTGTATTAACAAGTAATAATTAATGCGTTGTAATATTAGCCAAAAATAGATTGATTTATGATACCATGTGGCTGATTCATTGTTTTACCAATCGGCTAGATTAAACATCAATCGGCAAAATCCCACAAAATACAGCCGATTAAGAACACTGACCCTGACTGACATTTAAAAGAGCTAAGTCGCTAACATTTTGGACCTAGAAATGGACACAGATGGGTAGCAACGCATATAATAATGTAAGATGAATGTATATACACTGATTTGCATTCAATCGTTTCCGTTTTTACTCTGATTTCAAAAAAGTTATGTTCAGCGAAATATGCGATGAATCCCAGTCAATTGACAAACTCTAGCGTCTTGTTATTCCAGTCTACACAGGAAGTATTTCCTGCGCATGCTCTCAAGTTAAGATAATGGCGTCATGTTTAGCATTCATCGTAATACTATGAGTCCAGCATTGTTATTTCACTTGTAGACCCGTATGTTTACAAGTGCTTAAAATGTTCAATGGGATAGACGACTCCATGTATTTAAAAGTGTTTTCATAAGAATAAACTGTTGATAAAGACTCATTCGTAGAATACTCATTGATGTGGAATCATTTCGCGACGAAACTTTCACTCCGTGAGTCAGTTTGAAGATACGGATACCCATGTACTGACACTTGAGAGATGAAGATACACAGATTGTTTACTAATTGGATTGTGGATTTTAATTCATAGAAGATGTCACAGGTAGGTTGATAATTATAATACTACTCTTGTAGTTTAGCTTGTCTTACGTAAAACATATAGGCCACATATCAAAACAACAACACAGTTAATTGTTTTGTGGCTTCATTTTCATACAAGAATTGTGGCTTCATTTTCATACAAGAATTCAACTATCAAAATTGCCATTACTTTGATCTCCAAATATGGCTTCCCAATGAATCATATAAATCTTCATCATATATCGACTGGGGTTATTATATCCCCAGATACACAGAATGGCAGACCGACCTTTATGCGTACATTGTTCTAAACTTGTCAGAAAAAGTGCTCAAGCAATATCATGTGATATTTGTAGTAAATGGACCCATAGGGCATGTGGGACAGGTAAAGTGATCTATATTCCAGAGTAAACAAATTCAGAAATGTTTTATTGCAATATGCTACTATTTCATGAAATAAATTTATAGGTACACTATATGTAATGTTATATTGGCATTCTTATATTTATGTACATGATTGTTGCTTTTCAGGATTTACGGTTGCTGCGTACAAGAAAGCTGTGGAAATAGGATCCACAAGTTATATCTGTAAAGCTTGTCGACCCATAGATTCATCCGACAGTTCTGACAGGCCAATATTATCAACAACTAGTTCAAATGACTCATCAGACCATGAACCACCAGCACCAAAAAGATTGCAAGGTAAAGGTAAAGGCAAAGGCACAACTGGTAAAAAGACACACAAACCCGTGGAGACAACATTAGAAAGGGTAACAAGGTTACATAAAGAGAGACATGAAAGTCTAAAAGTGATACTTAATTTAAAAATGCAATACATAGATTGTTTATTTCTCAAAAGTGAGGGAATACACCATCAAGTAAAGAATAATGTTTACATATAAATAAATTTGTATGGTGTTTACTATAATATATTGCATGTCATAAAATAACTATTTACAGGATATAATCTCGGATGATAAGGCAATTAGTGACATGTTATAAACTAACTATTTACAGGATATGTTTTGAAAGATCTCAAACGATAAGGCACGTATTGGCACATCATAAAATAACTAATTATAAAAATTATCTTTCAGGATATGATTTCTAATATCACAGGTGATAAAGCAAAAGAATTATTGTTGGCAGCAGAGAAAATGCCTGGTCTGGTGTTCGACATTGCAGAAAGTGCAACCAAATCAACAACGCAAGCTACAGATCCAGACAATACTGATCCAGGACCATCTACATGTATCGAATCGGCTGATTGGTGCACATGCAGCCATTGCAGAGAGATGCCTACGGATGAGGAAAAGCTCTGCTGTAATATGGCTCCAGAATTTTGTATTTCTCTACGGCCAGTAAGTTTATATTTACAAATATAATTTAGTCCAAAGTCATTTCAGTAATATTCAAATACATTCAAGTAATATACATTAGACAGATTTAAAAGTGGATATTATTTATAATTGTATACAAATACATGTATAGTAAAAATCCAGTCATTTTCAGCAATATTCAACGACATATAAAAACTTACATTATTTTTAATTACAGGAATTGGAACAGTTTTGTTTGGAACCTGGTGTTTTGGTGATTGCTAACAATATTAGAAATGATATTTTTGTGAGAGATGCCGACGACAATCTCAATAAACAGTACAGACATGCGGCATACAGACAATTCATTTACTGGAGGTTCGGTCGACTTGGTGAAGGGAACCGACGAGTTATTCCGGGTTGTGTAGTGTGGAGAATAAGAGAGCATTACCCATCTCCATTTGGACAATGTTGGTTTTAAAGCGGGGAGACTTGTATAATTGTTGATATGACAGTGTGTGATTTACAATATTTGACAATAATGACTGTTGACTTGTGATAATTTTCTGTGTTATTGATAAGTTCACTAAAAGAATAAGTTAGAAAACAAAAATCCAATGATTACTTGAACAGTTAGAATTAAAATCATGATTTTTGTTTTCTAACTAATTCTTCCAGTAATGGTGCCTGCACCTTTGCTGAGGATTTACTGTCTTGGATCTGTATCTGATAATTTTTTAGAAGACTGTAACGGTGTTTTTGAATGTAAATGAAGGTGAACAATAGATTTAATTAATTCTGGGATGTATGTGTATTCTTTTGAGGACATCAGAGGTACTGCCGTCCATGAACCGGATCTTTTTGAATATTTTTTTCTATGTCTGCTAATAAAATAATGATTATAATAAATCTTATGAAATATGGTTCATTGTCCTATTTTTCTGTGCCAACCAACCTAACTAACAAAAGGTGTCCATACAAAATGTAGTGTGCTACACGGACACTGTTCTTTGACAAGGGGGGGAAATGATGAATTATCTTCTTACGCACCAGCCCATCTTATATCGCTTTGGTTCTTCATAGCATGCAAAAATAAATATTCATAGCGTTATATTTTGGTCCAATTATAGTTACAAATAATGTCAAGTTACTTACCGAATATTACCATTAGCATCCTTCTCTATTTTTATGACTGTTAAAGTCAATAGCTGCAAGAAGGCAATGGGCATTGTATGCAGGTGGACTGAAAAACGAGCAACAATATAATTTCACATTTTTACCTACCTCAATACCAAAATGTATAAACATATTGATTAATTGCAAACCTATCTTTATGTAAATCATTGATCAATCAAACTTATCCAAAGCAGAAAATGATCAGAATTGAACGTAAATCAGCATTTTGATTACTGTCAATCGTGTTCCAAAAGCATCCACCAATCAAACTGAATTTTTGGTCTAAGCCGGAATTGCTTGTCATCAAATACCAACAGTTTGAACTTTCTTCTACCAAATGAATTAGAAGCTTAGTTATTGTGTCCCAAAACGGGTGATTGACAGACGGACAACCCATTTTAATAGTTTTTGACTTTCTTAATTCATGTATTAGTATTACCTGTAAAAGTGCCTTTTGCTTGCATAGGCCTACATTAATTTAAAACTGTGAAACATTTCTATATCACCAGTATGCCTAAAAAAGAAAAGGAATAAATACTGTCTTATTGAAATGATTATACTAATGCATGTACTTTATGAGAAATGAAATGGTGTTTAACGTCTTACTGTTTCGCTCCGACTAGGCTAATGCAGACAGGCATACGTCACACTGTGTGCTATGAGGGAAATTTTGCATGGGTAGCCACACTATGGCCCACTCTTATATCGAATTCCATCTGTCAAGAGATCTTTTACGTGCATGCCAATGTACACACGGGACCTTGGTTTTTCGTTCCATCTGAACGACTAGACAGTATTTCATGTCAGGTCCTCCACCACTGACAAGGGCAAACCACACTGGATAATCCTGATGAACTTTATCGGCCAATGTGCTTGTGCATGTTTTTTTATTAGCAGTGGGAGTACTGAGAAATCCCACGAGGTTGCGAAGAGACCTTTCTCCTTGTTACATCAAAACCAAACCACTTGATATAATGACAGACCCTATAATCTAAAGCACCACTCAGCATATACCTAGAATATAAAATATAAAACTTACCTAAAGTTCACGAAATAAGGCAAAGTCTTCAAAAATCGTGAATTTAAAACAATTTTTTCTAATGCCATGTGTTGCTTTGATCCTGGTTTCAACCATTTATCTTTGTTGTATTCGGGCGAAAGTGGCTCATGGAGACATTTTGTTTCGATTAAGCCATCACCACTTATCCATTGATGTCTATTGACCACATGATGAAGCACCCCCCCTCCAATACGCCTAAAAAAATGTAAAAATTAATAACCCCTTTAATATAACTGATGAATTCTTATTCAATATAAGACCATATTTAAACTTAAAAAATTTGTAATGGGAATAAAAGATTTTATTGGATCATTAAATAAAACCCATTACAATGATACTAAACCATATTCAAAAATAAAAGTTTAGTACTCGAGAATAAAAGTGCTTTTTTTTTTTTTTTATCATCAAACAAAACACATATTGATAAAATAACAACATTTAATCATACTGCAATTACCTTCATTTTATCCACATTTCCTTCACAATTCTTTGCACAGTACCAAAAGTGGTTTACCACATCTTTTCCCCAGCATACTAAATATTTATTTTCTGCTTTAATACTAGCCTTAAAAAGACAAACATAAATTTGGTTATCTGTTATCTGTGGAATAAGGTATAATTAATATTTCAGAAAATGTATTACCAATGCCATATACATATTTGCTATTTAAATTCTAAATCAATTGAGAAATCGAAATTTGTCACTAGCAGCATAAATTCCAATATTGTAATACAACATTCTTTTGTACATAGATGTATTATTGAAATTTGTCAACAAAACCATCATAATCACCTTGCTTATTTGCTTTGTGATGCCTTTAGCACCATGCCAGATGTCATTAATGTTTTATTTCTGGTTTTTCTTTTGCTGAAAAAAAAAGCATTATTCATAAACCAGGCTGCAGGAATGATATGAAATAAATACAATAATTGTTATTACCCGTGTTTACAATTATCACATCAGTAGCTACTCAATACATGTTAGATATTATAATTTGGATACCAACTAAATACCTTTAGGGAAGTAATATCTTTAGAACGAATTTCATTTCATAAAAAGCTGGAAGTTGTCTTGAAAGGTTCATGATTGAATAGTCTCATGCTGAGAATACTTACTATTCATAACAAGAATCAATGCATCAATACCTAATAATGTGTAAATTATTTAATGTTCTGATAAAGTAAACTTACACATATAACTTTTTATTTGTATATGGGCATCCGTAACAATTTCTTTTATTGTCTGCCCATCTGCCAATAGTTCCTCAACAGCTCTCTTAAACCCGACTAATTCCATTTTCACTGATTTACCTTCAGCTTCTCTTTTATCAATAGTATTTACATGCACTAACAGGCCAGTACTCTCTTCAATCATATTGTAATTCAAATATTGAGCACAGTGTCCAGGACTATCATTCTGTCCATCACCTAGAAGAAAACAAACTGATAAAACTAAAAATGTAAAAATTTATTAAGAATATATAGAAAATCAAGCTTATCTTATATTTTACTTGTATAATATATAAGTTTTGTAGTTTAGGAGTGACTTCCCAAACTTCTCACTTTAAAATGCTATTGCATTTCAAATGATTTTGAATTTATCCTTATATTACATGTATAATATATGTCTTTGTAGCTTAGGGGGGACTCATGGAAGATTAATTTTTTTGCGAACTAAATAAGTTGCCTAATTAAATAAAGTTTTTATTATTACATCATAAACACCTCCCAAGGAGAACTAAATCTTGTCCTCGCAAACTGTCTAAAGTTGACTGGACCATTTTCTCCCAAAATGTGTTTATTGCAGGAATGCAGTAATGTGCCTGTATTCTGTAGAAGGTTGATGCCGAAACACAGCTCAAATTCAGGAATTTAAAAAGGGAAGACACTTTAGCATGATTATTCCCAGAAAGGAGGATAGATGTTGCAAGAAGGAAATCACCAGCCCGTACCTTCTTTATCAATGGTTGTGAACACCACCTTGCAATTTTGTGACCCTTCACACATTCCTGTGAAAATAAAAAATAGCAAATGTAATCAGTACTGTTTACAGATACATTATATAAGTTTAGATAAAGAGCTTGCTGTTCTTGCAATAATAGTTCAATAATAGATAATGAAAAATTAATATATTACTTTATTCTAAGCGAAGTTATGATATGAATGGCTACTTCCACCAGGTTTCAGACAGCAATAGCAATTAAATTTGTATTACTTCTAAATATAATCCAAATGAGACATTGAATAATAAGAAAAGAAAGATGTGCATAACTCTGGTTTCTGGCCTTTTATTGCCAGTCTTTGTGAGTGACGTCATGCATTTTCAGATTGTTTGCCTTGGTTGGGAATATTTGCTTTTAACAGATATGGCGGGCATTGTCTACTCCACTCAATATCTAAGGCATCAGACTATCTAGAGAGTTGATTATGGGCTTGTCATGTGAATAAATATATAACTAATAATTTAAAAAATGAAGCCAGAAAAATACAAGGCAAAAAGCAAACTTCACTCTTGCATAATGCTTTTCTAAGTATAATATCCATATCAAAATGTTTCAAAATAAAATGCCAACAGCAAATTATATACATTTTAGTTGCCATATCTACAACATAGTACACTATGGCATTATTTCTCTTTTAATATACATACCCAGTTTATTAGGGTTGAGGTTCCTATATGTTGAATTCTATTATTAATTACTGATGCACAGTTGCCACATTTTTCTGGTATTTTCAATTTTGAAAGTCCTAATAACTGGTTGTCAAAAGATATTGAGAGATTGTCTTTAAGAATATTGTCTGGAAATGTTGCTGAAGCTTGTGTACTGGTAGCCTCTTCTTCTTCATCATAGTCTTCTTCAAGATGATCATCCATTTCAAAATCATTGTCATCATCCCCAACAACATCCAAATCCACATAGTCGATGTTAACATTTCTATAACGAGAGAAAAATGGGGTTTAACGTCCACTTGACACAAACTCAGTCAATAATTCGCTTACATGTATGGATGTTAAGCAGTGGGAGAAAACCGGACAAAAACAATGAGGGTGGGTGGGCAGACGACCTTACAATGTCACACACAAACTAGGGAAACCACACCACTTGACTCAATGACAGATCTTGTGATCTAAAGTGCATGCATTAGACATTTTGACGCCTTTCTATAAAACACAATGTATCTAAATAAATACAAAGGTATACACAATAAGTAAGCTTTATCTGGCAAACAATAGCATGTATGTCCCTGTACTAATTTTCTATACACATGCAAGTAAAACTGAAACCTTACTCATAATGGAGCTTTACAGTATCTGGTACATAATCACTGTCCTTGTCATCATCGTCATATGTTAGACCAGCCTGTTCAAAATCGATGTCTTCTATCAAACATCTACTGCCATCATTTGTACCAACAGTTATATTCATCTGAATCCTATAAAGATTACACATGAACAATAAATTACTGAACAAATAAAATGAGATATTATAAATATCTGTTAACTTTCTTTTGCATTGTTGAAAAAAATTACTTTCAGAGCTTCTTAATTTAAACATATATATAAATTTAAAAGTAAACATATATACATTAACAGCAATTCCAAATTTCAGGAAAGTAAGCAGAAACAATCTTAGTACATTTAAAATTGAAGAAATAATGTACGCTTCTGTAATAAAATATCATATGTTACTTACTCGTCCATGGTTATATCATGTTGACTAACATTCAAATCAACCGGCCTTTTACTGGTACTAGGAGTAGGAAGTGGTTCAATATCACTGGGGCCTATACATGTATTTGAATCAGAACTAAAAATTAAAACATGTATGTGTAATAAAATACAACAATGTACATATTTGTTTGATTCATATGTCTATGAAATGAATGATAATCCCAAACTATAAACAAAAAATTACAAAAGCTTACCCATGAATAGATGAAACTTCTGACAGATGCACCTCTTCTTCATTTTTGACAGCTGGTGTACTGGTACTGGCTGAAACATGTTTTTCGGGAGTCTTCATTCCAGAAGCTATAACATTTCTGCTAGATGTTGTCGTTGACAATTTCCATCTAAAATTCGAAATTTTTTAGTTTTATCATAAAGTAATATATGCCACTTTGATTCTAAAACAGTCTTAGTAAAATTAAAAACTTTAATCTAATTCATACATAATGTATTATCAAAGTTAATGAACCCTACATGTACCTCCAGATATAAACCCAGACAATACATACTACACACCACACACAATGACTAGAGATAAGACGATTTTAATTTCCTCAATATTTAGCTGAAGATTGAATGTCTAAGATTTTGTTTTCTTCCATAGATTTTGCCTTTATTCACTGCAGGTTCGAAACTAAACTGTACTACTGGTCAACCAGTCAACTCTTACAATGTAACTCATCGGAAAATTATATGAAATATAACTTTTAAAGATTGAACAATTATCAACATCGTAAATATAGGCTTATATATATATGGCTATGTTTTTCAGACAACCAAATGAATGTTTTGTATACCATAAGAAACACATAGAAAGCTACGGTTCATTTTACTGTCACTCTAACGTGTTTAAAAAATAGGTTTTATTCATAATCTTCAAAATAGCTCTGTTTATTAAAAAAGTTCATTTATGCCAATACAGTGAGTGTAGTCAATTCCAAATAATAATAATAATACTCTACTGAGAATCAAAATCATTCATAATTCATCATTTTTCATTTTCATTATGAGCGTATTTCTGCTTACGATGGAAATAGTGAGACATATTTTATCAGTCACTGAAGATCTTTCACACCATTATCAATTATAACAAGTCAAGTGAGTGGCAGATCATGAATTAATTTCGAGAGTTCATCAAACCAAACAAATATATTTTCTTACCGCTCATAATGATCCAATAGCAATGTGGCAGCCTGTTCATCATCTACGACATTCATCTCAAGTTTGAGTAAATTCCAACGATCAATTTCTGATTGAATGTTGATCAGTGATCCTTTTTTTTATCTTACTGTATTGCTTATCATATTCCCTTTTTCTTCTTTTCGCCGGGGTGCTCAGTGATCTTCTTTGTCGTTTCTTCGTTTGATCATCGGCCATCTTTACTACAAAGTTGTGTACAGTCCGCGTCCAGGATATGAACAAACGCAGGATATGAACAGTGCATTATTACAAATGGTGCTAAGACGCACTATGGTACACGATTCGTTACCAATGTTAAAATATTTATTTTATTTTAAATATCAGATATCAGAAGCTCATCTTTTCCAGGTAAGTTCACACCATCAATGTTGATTTAAATTGACCAATAATTCGCGTTTTCGATGTCGAAGATTTTGGAGGATATTGAGTTACGGACTTAGCTCCTTTAACAATTCTCTGAGATTTCTTTTTTTTTCAAGAAAAATCCTTATAGATTCACAGCATAAGCTCTTGCCCGAATTAGATTCAGAGATTCGCACGAATTTCTAGCCCTGGGCAAGAAGGAGCGAAGGGATACTGATGCATACATATGCTGTGTAATGTGCTTT